GCCCCCGTAGCCTTCAGAAGTACAAACTGCAGGCGATGGAGAGAGGAGACCGGTCTCATCGGGCTCCCATTCGGGTCTAGTAGCCAAATCTCTTTATATTCCGGGCGGAAATGACATTCGTCCTGAAGGAACTGCAACCATCGCTCGTATGCGACGTGGATGGGCCGAATCGGTTGACTGAATGCGAACTAAATGTTATCGCGGAGTAAAAGAATGGGTACCGTCTCCCCGATAATGATAGGGTTCCCTTCACGGCGGACGTAAATGTCAATAAACGGGATATACAATCCGGTAGAAATATAAGGTAGGACAGCGGAAAAGGGTGCAGCACGGGCCAGAGAGGATCGGCGAGATATTTCAGCTAATCCGCCCATAAAAATATCGCTATCGGAATGTACGCGACGATCATGGTCAGTAAGATCGGATATTGGACTCTAGCCGTTAGGGCTAATGGCGCGCCTCTTTTAGTCGCGGCGAGTGCGGTAGCGCCAGGAACGTTTACACCTGTCAGATATTGGAGATCGAGATCTTTCGTTACTACTTGATAACTTGTTACCGTTAGACTCTGACTCGTGGCGACGTTGCCTCCGTCCAGAGCGGTAGCGTTTTAGGTGACAGACTGAGAATCCAGCCGCTACTGCCAAAGAATCCTGTTTCTTCAGCCAAGTGTTCTGTCCCTTGATAAAGACCTGATATAGAAGCCCGATGGCTCTGTCCGCGTCGGCAGCGAAGCTGGTACGAATAAACAACGGGAACTCCTCGATACGGTCCCTCAGGTGTCTCTCGATCGACGATTTAGCGCGATATTTCCTAGGGTTGCGCATCGGGGCAAACTCTTCGCTGAAACGCTCTAACATGTTGCGAACTTGCTCCTGCTCTCGAGGGTCGGTCATCCCCAGCGTTTCTAGGTACCATCTCTTACCTTTCGAGATGTTCGGCTGGCGATCTGCCGGGAAAGCTGATAACGGGGGCATGATTTAGATAATAAAACGCGAGACAATAGATTAAAACAATCAATGAAAGGCTTAGGAATGGTAGAATAGATAGGGGGTAAAAGCAGAAAAGGGACGAAAAAGAGATTAGGAAGAATAAAAAAGAAAAAGTCTGACTGGGAAGGGTAAAATAGTTGGTCCGTTTGTTATAAATTTCAGTTTCTGCGGTAGAAAAGTGAATGACTCCGCTAGCGCGCGTTTGCCTTAGTTTCAGACAATGTTTCCCACTTCTTTTCCAGGACGGTTTCCGATTGCCAGGGGAAAGTGGGAAAGGAGAGCTCTTTGAGATTCTATAATAGGATAGATTCGATTATCAAAAGACGATTGAATCAGATAATGCGCTAGGGCTCCTATTGCCAAAAAGTCAGACAAAGAAACGTTACATGCCCCAATGATAGTCTTGTCCGGTTAAGAGGCAATATAACTATCGATAACGAGCGTATTCACTGCAGAGATATTCCATTTCGGTTCTAGCTATTCTAGCAGGTTGGGTTATAGCTATTCGTCTTTCATGGGTTAAGGGTCAGTCTCTCCCGTCTCCCTATCTTGGTCGGTTTTGTCCATTGTCGCGGTAAAAGGCGCGTCAGAGAGCGCATCTGAAGGCTTGTTTACAAGGCCAGTAACCTATTCAGTCGCGTCTGGAGTTTTCTCGCGAGCCTAGGCGTCACTGTAACCTCCGGAAGTCAGGGGACTTCCTGATGCGGAAGAACGTTCTGGTTGGTTAGTATAGGATCTAGGGACCCTCCGGTAGGCATCCAGGAACCTTCCTAGATGCTCTGCGGGCATTCCTGCCTGAGGCGAAACCCCGGGCAGTATATGGAGGCTCTAGATCCTCCCTTCTAGATAGCCTTTCTTCCCGCGGGATAGGGAAAGCGGAGGTTACGGGGCTCAACAGTAGGATTTCAGTTAGGTAATCAGTATCAGAGGTAATGTTAGGAGGGCTGATTCGCTCGCGCGGCAATAGATAGATAGGCTCTTTCTATCCTATCGTAACTAACTATACTATAGGTCCTATAGATTCTATCGGACGAATATATCTAGACTCCTGTAATAAGGTCAAGGGTGCCGGCCTTAAGGCGGAGTGCGGCTTGTAGGGAGAAGCTGGCCATGCTAGTAACTAGACCAAAAGATAACCATTATGCTAACAGACTTTGTCTTGGATTTTAAAGGGGATCCTTAGGGTACGATAGGTACTAAAGGATCTATAGGATCTATAGGATCTATAGTGACTTACACAACAGACTGGTATTTTTTTGCGGGAGTAAAATACCGATCTTAACATAAATGAGTAAAGTACTATAGCTACTAAAGGATGTATAGGATCTATAAGGTTTATAGTATTTTAAACGTACGGTTTGCCTTTTTCGGCAGGAGCATAGTTGCGATCGTAAAATAGATGCTGAAGGTACTGTAGTTATCGAAAGATATATAGGATCTGAAGGATATTTAGGGTCTAGAGTATCTTTCCTTAAGATATACTTATCTGTAGCAGAAATATATGGGTCTTCCTAGAAGCGATTATTCAATCAAGGAATATGATCGTTTTCAACGGAATGAAGGTTTTAATTCTTTCTAATTACACGATAAAGAAGCCGATCTTTATGCAATTCCAGGGGCTTCAGGATCGTCATAAATCATACGGCTTATATTAATCGGTTGCATGATCGGTCTGGTCAGACAAGACAATAATATTAGCGATTTAGTTATCTTCCGCAGCCACATTATCGATCCTAAACGTCACGTAATATAGCCTGCGAGATCATTCCCTAGGGTTCGAAGTACAATCAGACCCGAATTCAGGAATATTGCAGTCTTTTCCGATTCTCTTTCTCATCTCTTTCTACCTCAGTTGGAGTCCGAAGTAATTGTAAGACCGAAAAGTTATAGTTAGGCAGTCGGCATAGCCGAGGGGTATAATTCTTGATAATTCCGTTATCTAGACAAGATTTATTTAATCGCTAACGATTTTAAGAAATCAGCTTATACAGCCGCTTCTCGATCCGCTAAATATATTTTTCGGCCCGGATTTTCTGAGACTCAATGTCCTTTTTATCGGACGTTTGCTCGTCGATATCTGCCGGCCCCTCGGGCTCGGTATCAGAGAAGTAATCCGGAAATGTAATATGACGGCGACGGCGCTAGAAACACTAGCAACGGTACTGGAAAATCTCCCATTTGTATAGTGCTAGTTCAAGTATCCGGTTATACGCTGATACCGACCAGCTTTCTACCGGACCCGTAATTGAGCTAAACGTATTCTCAATCCGCTCCTGAATCTCAAATACTATATGAGACAACGGGCGGTCCGACCGAGGTAATATCTAGGTAACAGAATTCTATCGAGTCCGTAAATCGGTTAGTTACTGATACAGCTCGCTATCGGAAAGATAAAGAAGCCATTGCTCCGGTTGAATGGTATAGTCGAGATAGGATAGGCAGAGTTGAGAGAGACCCTAGTAGCTTACGGAATGATACTTGATATAGGAAGCCGGAAAAGGCCGATCGAAAAGACGTAGCTTCTGGTAGTATAGATCGAGGCTTCAGTGCACGCTGGACCACTATATAACCTGATCACTTTCCTTGGATTTTCGCATGAAACTGTTATTTTGGGAATAGGACAGCATCCAATAGCTCTAAATAAAGGAATCTTTTAGACCCTGTTTCTACTGACGAGCGGCATCCTTTCCCTAGATTAAGGTAATTACCTCGAAACTTTTCTGATATAAGAGGCGGTAGGGTTTGTGATTCTAACCTTTCTGCTCAAATTGTTCGTTATGCCACTTCTAGAGCCAGGTAAAGAGAACGTTAATATGCTTTACGGCCATCCGGTTTCCGGAAGCAATGTGTGGCGGCCAGAATCGGGTTTGCAGCGCCTTTGCAAGACTAGGCTAACAGAGTGGGATCTCTCCGGCCAGGGCAGCGGTCGCGGACTCCGGTTTCAACAGGGCCTTAATCTGCGCAAAGATATCCTTCCGGAAGGCGCGTAAACAGAGCTGCCGAAAATATTTCTGCAGATAATCTTGACAGGTCGGAATGCCGCTAAAATCGGTTATCTACTGGTAAATCTGGCTGATCCGGATGAAGTCCACTCGGACATCCCGCACTTGGGGATAACGGGCGTGGTACGCGGCTTACAGCGAAGGGTTATTGAATTGGATATATTGCGCGGCAGGCTGTCGGAACACTATCATTTCTCAATCAATCTTATCCAGAAACCAGCCGTACCCGGATTGCTGCATATTCCGCTGGAATCCCAGCCTCTCGCACCGCCGAAGGCCGTCTGGCTGGGTCGGATCCGGGCGAAACCAGACATCGCGCCAGCAGCCCGAGACCCGCTCGAGCAGACCCCCCGAGTAGGAAAATGGGAGACAGCGGAAGAACATCAACATTATCCGGGTATGTTCCCAGGTCACAAAATGCCGGTCATTCAGGCTGTAAACTATCTTAAATCTGACGCAGAATTTATTGATATTCCATCGGAACTATCGAAGGAGCGTAAAGATAGGAAAAACGTAATAACGCTCGACGCTATCCGTTCCGTCCGGAAATGGGGTTATCAACTGTTTCCGGTCCTGAAATTCACGTACAATTTGGTAGAACAGCGCGTGGGATACGCGGTACTCCTCCCGCAGGCCAAAGACCTTTTAGATCGATCCCTGCAGGGCAGCATGGCACCGTTGTTTCGTTGTGAGATATGCGCGATTAAGCGCGATCGGATTGTGACTGAGACCCCCGCTAACCGTCTGCTAGATTTTCTGAAGCTGCAGATCAAGCCCTAAGGTCTCTATCCCGGTATTCGTAAAAGGATATGTGTTCCCGGCGGTAAAGATTTCCTTCACACTCGCGTAGAATTGACTGTATAAGAGACCTGCCTGCCTCTGCGGCGACGATCGCCGGGTCTCTAACGTCAGGCTGCCGGTATCCTGAAACATACTAATTGGGTAAAAACGCTGTAGGGCACGAGGCGCATCTGCTGGCTGCTTACTATAGATCCACTGGCTGTAGGCATCCAGGCAGTATCGCCGCTAGAGTAAGGTCTGCGGCTGGCCCTGCGGCGGCTCGCGTACCGCTGTCGGGCAGGTTTCCTTTCCTAGATCGTAGAAAAACGGTTCGGCCAGGTAGCTCTCGTTGATAGTATTCTGCCAGTGTTATTGAAAGCCCTCGATCAGCTCGCCCAATGTATTCGCCTTAGTCAGTGTTTTAAGATTCTTTCTCTCGATTAGAATCCTGACGTCCTGAAACTGATGGCATCCGGGGCGTTTCGTTACCTCCAGAATCCGTTCTCAGATAGTAGGGAGCGCTTCTGGAGGTAGAAAATAGATAAGCAACTGCTTACGGGCGACTAGATTCACTCGCTGTAACCGCATTTTTACGCCCCGGGCGGTCGCGTTCAGCCGGCTATAGTTAAAGCTAAAGGGATAGTGTTAAATAAGATTGCCGGAATAACAGCAATTGATGATCGGGAGGAGAATCTCGTCTATCCACTGCCTAAAATTCTGGTCTAACAGACGGCTGGATTGCTGACCTTCCCGGTAGAGTCGAAAAAAGAGCAGATACAGAGATATATCTTTGAATCTAACTAGGCAACCAAAGGTATAATGCGGGACTTGATGGACAGGCCGGCGCACACTATGGGCTTGCCCAGTTGAATCGAAAAACTGGACCGAAATCGGATCTAAATGAAGGCTTGACTGGAGGTTAGAAACTGCTATCTGCATAAGATGCCATCGGATCTCCCGACGGGCCACGGCTAAACTACTTATAAATCCTCCTACACTATCGATATTAACGGTAATATCTAATGAAGGGTTTGGGCGATAGTCGGCGGCCACACAGAGATGTATTGGAAATCGATCGGGATCTCGAGAATCCGTTCTGCAGTAGATCTGTTATTTCCGTGCCTTAGGAACTTGCTGGGCAAGATTGGACTCGCGGACCGCGATTGTCGTCGAGCTTAGTACATCCGGAAAGTTTCCGTCGATATTAATCTGGTCTACGTAGTCCCCAAGCCCAGTATGAACCGAATGCGTCTCTTGGTGCACCGTATGTGCCTGCTTATGGCACTTATGATAACAGCCGTGATACTGATATAGCTGATCGGCAAATGCGCGTGCTAGCGTACAAATATTCTCGCGAGGCTCGGAAATCGGTAGGATAGGAGTTGGGATCTCTAAATTCGACTGATTATCATAGGGTCGCTTACTGCGCGTCGGTAGGGATGGTCGGACTGAAGGCTCGGACTCGGGCTCGGGACTAGCGACAGGCTCAAAACTGTTAAGCTCTAGAGGCTCGTCAATCGGTATATAGCTATTTTTAAGCTCGAGAGGAGTTGGACCGGGGCTTAACGGCAGGAGCAACTCTTCCAGTTCATAGGTTACCGACGGCGCCCCTATGCCAGTAACATAAGCGATAGAGAGATTGGAGATTGTAGATAGCTTAGTAGAGCAGAATTCGGTAGAGGACGCGTTATGTCCAGTAGCCCGCGCGGTCTCCCGCCGGCTTTATTACCGTTCAAGCTTTGCAGCCTCTCGTTCCTCTGATAAGGCGTATTTTGGTGGACGATCACGTTTTCGGGTAATAGATATAATCGTACCTAGATACAAATTTGGCTGATGTTAAGAGAGATACTGACAGCATGGCTGACGATAAAATTGGTAGAATGCTTGATCGATTCTATGCAGCGAGGCTGCAGACTAGCTAACTATCTACGATCGCTGTATGGGTCATGTGGTACACTAAACTACATTCGGAAGGTCAAATATGCGAGACACTGCTAACAGATACTGACTGATAAAACTGAATAGGCGAAAGGAACTGGTACCCTAGAAACTGATAGACAAGGGGGAGGAGCCTTGCTAGCTGGAAAGTTCCGTAATTGTCAGGGTCCCTATATAGTACGTTGACTGAATAACCTATTGGTCATTCAATGTACCTTTTTGGCGTATAGTGCAGTGGTAAAGTCGACGGACCGGTACCTTACAGTTATAACGGTTTACAAAGTGTGACGAACTGACCAAGAACTACTATATAGAGCGATGCGCGTACCTTATCGTCAACTTAGTATTCTGGTCTTTTTAGTAGCTCAGTCGGTAACCGTCCCACAGACCTACTAAACGGTCTTGGCGGGTAGAAGCGTACCTACCCAATGTCAAGCCCGTAACACAAAGGAGCCTAGTAAAAGACTAGTTTGTTTATGACTCGTAGTCAAGGAATTTTCCCATGGAGAGGAAAGGCTATCTAGGAGCGAGGATCTAGGGCCTCTATGTACTAACTGAGGCTCTGCCTCAGGCAGGAATGCATTCAGGAAGGGTTTTCCGTACTGGAAAGTTCGTATCAGAAGTCCGTATCGGGAAGTCCTTGGCTCAGAAGATAATAACAGTAATAGAGATTGTCAATCCGTTATATTAATTTATATAACGAACTGACCAAGAACCACTATATGGAGCGATGCGCGCACCCAATCGTTAACTTAGTATTCTGGTCTTTTTAGTAGCTCAGTTGGTAAAACGTCCAATAGACCTACTAAAACGGTTTTGGTGGGTAGAAGCGCACCTACCTACTACTAAGCCCGTGACAATTTATATATAGCTCTCTGATAGTATTATATCGGATATACTCGGGTAGATAACGCCGTGCGGCCTTTGGATCCGGGAGCCAAGTTTTATAGGACAGAGAGGAGATCTTTCTATCTATGCGTGCCGTGCCGTACAAATAAGGAATATCTTAAGGAGTAGAAGGAGGTCAGATAGTGTCACAATGCAGATCTGGGGTGCCTGAAATACTCCCTTAGCATGGCCCGGAACACTATATTATCTGTTCCGGGATCCGCATATCTCCCGCCTGCCTGAAGATCCTGTTGTATGTGACGAACTGACCAAGGCCTACTATATAGAGCGATGCGCATACCAAGTCTTCGACTTGGTATTCTGGTCTTTTTAGTAGCTCAGTTGGTAACTGTCCTACTAAACGGTCTTGGCGGGTAGAAGCGTACCTACTCACTGCCAAGCCCGTAATATTGTAGCTCTCCGAGCTACGTCTTATCTATAAGCCTGTAGATAGCTTGACCCTGTAGCAATTCAGAGATATTGTAAACTATTAGCTTGCCTGCTCGCTTGCCTGCCATCAGCTCTACTACCCCGCCAGCCCGCACCTTAACAGATAGCCCGTCAGATATCAACAGATAGAGAAAAAGGTGATATAACAGCAGAATAAACTGAAAGGGTTAGCGGTGAGGCAAAAAATCCAAAAAGAGTTAGCAGTGAGACATTAATTCGAGCAGGTTAATTATATAATCTCTACTCCCCAAAAACCTCCGCAACTCCCCAACTTTAGGCAGCGATTCCGCGCGAACGAAAGAGAATATAGAAATTCTAATTAGTGGGCAGGATTCTACATTGACTGCTCTATATCTAGGCAAATTTTGATAGGGCTTCGACGTTGTTGGAGTTCTAAGTCTAGGCGGAAAACGGCCTATGGCGAGGAAACTAAGCTAAGCTATGAAGCTATTCAGGAGCTGGTTGCGATATGTGTGACAGCTCTGACGCTAGTCCCTATCGGGGAGTTAGGTTATAGGGTATCGCGAGGAAGGTCCTCGGAGGCAGGTCACAGTCCGTGACAGGTCCCTGCAGAATGGGCTTCTTATGTTCCAGAATAAGCTTGTGGTTCCTGAAGAGGGCGACCTTCGTGTGACGAACTGACCAAGAACCACTATATAGAGTGATGCGCGTACCAAGTTGTCGACTTGGTATTCTGGTCTTTTTAGTAGCTCAGTCGGTAACCGTCCCACAGACCTACTAAAACGGTCTTGGCGGGTAGAAGCGCACCTACCCAATGTCAAGCCCGTGACACTTCGCACCCGATTGCTTGATATAATCTACCGACAGCCCTCTACTGCGCACCCAGGACGAACCAAGACAGAAACTCTGGTAAAGAACCGATACTGGTAGCCAGCGTGGTGCCACGATGTAAAGCGCTATATAGCTAACTGCCTGACATGTAATCGAATTACCACTAGAAAAGATCTACCCCCGGGATTACTTTAATCCCTCGATATCCCGAACCGCCCTTGGGAGCACATCTCTATGGACTTCCGCTCCTGCCCGAAGGACAAGCGCGGTTTCGACGAAGCCTGCGTGATCGTGGATCGCTTGACGAAACGGGTGATCTCGATTCTCTGCCATAAGAATGTGTCTGCAGTTGATATGGCCCAGCTCTTCCTCGAATATATATATCGGTGGGTAGGGCTGCCGGAGTCAATCCTTTCGGACCGCGGAGGCCAGTTTGTCTCTTCTTTCTGGGAGGAGCTCTGCTTACGGCTGAAGATCAAGCGCAAACTAACCTCGGGACAGAAGCCCTCTACAAACGGCCATACAGAGATCGTTAATCAGTATCTTGCCCAGAAACTGCGTCCGTTTGTAAACTACTATCAGGATAACTGGTCGGAGCTGCTACCGGTTATAGACTTTGCTTACGCCGTCCTTGAATACGAGTCAACCGGGTTATCTCCTTTCCAGGTGAAGCGTGGTTATGAGCCCCGGGTCTCCTTTGACTGGATCTCGCCTTCAAAGCCTCGAGATAAGCCCCAGGATCAAGCCGAAGCTCGCCGTATTGCTCGCAATTTGGAGCAAATCTGGGACTACGCTAGGGGTCAAACGAAACTGGCTCAGGTAAAGATAAAAAGGCAGGCCGATAAGCATCGTAGGCCCGTGGACTTCAAGACCGAGGATTGGGTCTACGTAACTACTAAAGACTGGGAGTTGGACCGTCCAAACCGCAAGTTCGGCGACCAATGGGCTAGCCCGTATGAGATTATCGAGCAAATCGGCTATGCCTTCAAGCTTCGCCTACCTCCTACGCTTCGAGTTCATCCCGTTTTTGCGCCAGAAAAGCTCCGAAAAGTTACTGATTTGACGCCTATGCCGGGTCAAATTCGTGATCCCGAACCCCCGATGGAGGTGCAGGGCGAGCCCGAATGGCTCGTTGATAAGATTCTTTCTTCTTGCATGTATAATAAGAAACTGCGCTATCGCGTGCAGTGGGAAGGGCATCCTCCTGATCCTGCCTGGTATCCGGTATCTAATTTCCGCAACGCTCCAGTTAAGTTGCAGGAATTTCATGATCAATATCCCGAGAAGCCCGGCCCTCCCCGGCGCCTGGCTAACTGGCTCGCTGCCGCGGCTAATGATGAATTCCTTGACGAACACAACGATGACGATTTACCTGTTTAAGCTTGTTTTGCAAAGGGCTGGGAACCAGCCCTTTCAAAAGGGGGGGGTATTGTTATCTCCTGAATCAAGGACTTCCCGATATGGACTTCCGATACGAACTTCCTAGTACGGAGAAACCTTCCCGAAGGCATTCCTGCCTGAGGCAGAGCCTCAGTTAGTATATAGAGGCCTTAGACTCTCGCTCCTAGATAGCCTTTCCTCTCCATGGGAAAATTCCTTGACTACGAGTCATAAACAAACTAGTCTTTTACTAGGCTCCTTTGTAGACCGTCACACTTGGCAGGTTTGCATTATTTACACTGGTGAGGTTAACCGCGGTGACCGCGGTTGTGACGGCCTACAAAAGAGCTCAATATAAGACAACTTTGTTTCTGACTCTGAGTCAAGGAATTTTCCCATGGGGAAGAAAGGCTATCTGGAAGGGAGGATGTAGGGGATCTATATACTGCCCGAGGCTCTGCCTCAGGCAGGAAGGCCTGCAGAGCATCCAGGAAGGTTCCTGGATGCCTACCGGAGGGTCCCTAGATCCTATACTAATAATGTTGGCCGTCTCTCTAGGCGTAATTGCTAGTAATGTTACCCATAGGAATATCGAATGATGAAGGTCCGATTCTTTCAATCTAGCTGCACACGGTGGTTTAAATACATGAAAAATTAATAAGCAATCTAGCCTGAAAAAAGGCAACTAGAAGAGATATAACTTTTGAACCATGGAAATAACAGAAAAATCTGCATAATCCTCGGGGATCGGTGTTACCAATACCGATATCCGGAATAGGAAGGTTTCCTATGTGACTAGCGGTCACATACGGTTGACAACTAACTAACCGGAATGTTCCTCTGGAACGTTCCTCCACACCGGGAAGTTCCCTAACTTCAGGAGGTCACAGCGGTCATGCCGCAGCCTATAGATGATGGATACTCTTATAAATTATAAGAGTATCAGGACCATATATCTAGATGTACTGGAGGCAGAAAAGGACTAAAAGCCGAATACCTCGACGTGATTAGTGTGACGAACGGCTACGCCGGCGATAAGGAATCGCGGGAATTTAGGGTACAGTCACTGGTATTTGAAATTTAGAACACCCTGAGGATGGGGCCGTGCGCCCGTCCTACCGCCTACCATTTTTACTATGGTAAGCGGGACTAGGGCAACCGGACACGCGTAGTTGAATAGGGTCACATTAATATTTTGAAGCTTTTCAGCTCCATACAATATGCCTAAACGCAGGGGCTGTAAGGAGTTAACCCCCCAGATGAGGTCTCGAATATGTGAGCTTCACTCTATTAAATACTAGGATAGGAATTCATGAGGTTTCTGCCGGGCAAAATAGTCCTAGTTTAGTAGGCGGTCCCTAAATAGGCCACTAAACCTTAATCGGGTGTTCCAAATTTCAATTACCTCCCACTGTATGCATTTAACGAAGAAACTAAGCTGAATTGTGAAGCTAGTCCCGATCGGGTAGTTAGGTCATAGGATATCGCAAAGGAAGGTCTTCAGAGGCAGGTCACAGTCCGTGACAATTAGGCCCTATTGTATCCTTAATCTACTATCACGAAATAACAATGCTAAGCTGTGGAAGACGCTCTCTCCTGCCCCATTTTGCTCACCAGCTTCTCGCAAAGCGCCCTCAAGGTCTTCGTGCCCACCACCTCTAACGTTGTAATATCGATCTGGAGTTCCTGGCGTGCCCAGTTCCGGAACTCCACTGCGGCCAGCGAGTCCAGGCCATACACGGCCAGCGGCTTCGCCGGCTCCATGGGCTCCGACAGCCCCAGGGTGCGCATGAAGTGGCGATTCACGACCGCCACGGCGGCATTAAGGTGTGTCTCGAGCTGGGCGGTCGGATCGCTGCGCACGAGATCAAGCAGCGCCCGCGTCTCCTGCGAGGCGTCTTGCGCCATTTCACCGACCGAGCCGTCGTCGGCGGCGGCGAGACCGGCAAACCGAACGTCCTGCAGCAGTGTGGCATCGGGGGGTTGGGGGCAGGGAATGCCCGTGACCATGTGGGCGGCGCTGGACGGATTTAGGGGCGACAGGGAGTCCTGTTGGAAGATGGAGAGGCGGAGGATCTCATGCAGCAGAGACTCGTTGATGGGGGTCCAGATGTTGATGTCGAGACGGTTGGCGATGGACTGCCGCTCGCTGATGTATCCCACGTCTTCAATTACGCCCAGGTCGACGGAGCAGGCGGGCAGGCCGAGACCGTGACGGTACGTGGCTAGGGAGTCGAGGAAGGCGTTTCCAGCGGCGTAATTGGCCTGGCCTTTTTGACCGACAAGGCCCGAAAGACTGGAAAGCATGGTGAAGAATTCCAGAGATGCGGCCTGCTCCGAGATCGAGACTTTGTGGAGATTCCATGTGCCCTGGACTTTGCAGCGCAGGGCTTCGTGGTATTGCGTGACGGTCATCGATGTGTAGATTCCATCCTGGACCAGGTTTAGCCTCGCCCTCATTCTCTTCTCTATACAGCAGCTGGTGATGGGAAGATGGAACCATGCACTCACCCTGAGCACCATTGCACCTTGGATTATGCCTCCCACAGGCAGTGGTGATTGTCGAAAAGCGCGTCGGACGTCTTCTTTCTCGGAGACATCGCCTTGCACGAGTTCACATCGAGCGCCCAAGGAGGCAAGATCTCTCAAAATCCGTTGGGACGTATCATCAGCATACCCACTGCGAGACATTACGACAAGGTGTTGAGCTCCGTGACGAGCCATATAAAGAGCCAGGCTCCCGCAAACTCCCCTTAAGCCTCCAACAATCAGGTACGATTTGTCGGACCGGAGACGGAGCTTTCTGGGTGCTGGTTGGATCTGAAAAGTGTAAAGGTTAGTTCGTTCAATGGTTTCTTCTGCGCTCGTTGGGGTTCCTCAGGATGAATGGTTCGTTCCACCTACTCACCTCCATCTTGGCCGTCTCCGGAGAAGCCTCCCTGGAGACGACGATCTTACCAATGTGCGTCCCACCACGCATGTATCGAATGGCGTCGGCGATACCAGCATAAGGGAAAACCTTCCGCGGCTTTATCGGTCGGATGTGTCCGCCGTCGATCAGGTCAAATATCTGACGCATCAGTCTAGAAGGTGAGAATGGTCAGTCAACGCTGCATTGCATGTTGCGCAGGGCTATCTCACCGTGCCACAGTAGCCCGTGTTATACTATTGTGGGACATGTCGATCGCGCGGTAGGAGGCATTGCGGTTGAATGGCTCCATGGAGAGGGAGTTGCGATCTAAGATATCCTTCTTGCCCAGCTCGACCATGATGCCGCAGTCGGCGATAATCCGCCACGATTCATCGAGCAGTGGACCGGTGAGGGAGTTCAAAACGATATCAACGCCCTTACCAGCCGTCCTTTGCAGAATCTCAGCAGCAAACCGGGTGTTGCGGGACGAGAAAATCCTGTCCGGAGGCAGGTTGAATGTTTCCGTCAGGAATTGGCGCTTCTCCTCGTTGCCAACTGTCGCGTAAATATCTGCGCCCACGTACCGACATATTTGAATGGCTGCAATACCAACGCCGCCGGCAGCGGAGTGGATCAGAACAGACTGGCCACGCTGGATGTTCGCGAGGTCAAAAAGGCCGTAGATGACGGCCAAATATACGACGGGGAGAGTGGCCGCCTCTTCGAACGACATCCAGTCCGGTATCGCATGCAAGCCCTCGACAGGACACTGTACTTTGTTCCCAAAACTCCCCCGACGGTATACCAGGACTCGCTGGCCGATGTGGAAGGATGCAGATGCCTGGGCACCCACCCTGCGAACAACCCCGGCTCCCTCCAGACCCAGCAAATACTGGTTTTCAGGCACGATGCCGAGGCAGGTCGCGACGTCTTTGTAGTTTAAGCCCGCGGCATGCATATCCACTTCCGCGAAGTCGTCCGGTAGTGGCATGTCTCCGGGGGCCACCTCAACAAACCGGAGGGAGTCTAACATTCCAGGCTGGCGGCACATTAAACGGACACAGGAAGGATGGGTATGTATATTTTGCTCCTCAGCGGTGTCTCCACTGTCCTGTCCCTTGACAAACTCCAAAAGAGACGAATCTGGCTGGACTCTACTGACTTGAAGAAGACCGGATCTTTCGACATACTCATTCTCTGCGACGTCCGTGAAACTGGACCCGGGAGACTGCATGGCAGTGAGCACGCGTGCGATAGTCATGTGCGACTCCGCGCTCATTGCCGATTCCACGTCCAAAGTCACCAGTTTCGCGCTGGGATCCTCGGCCCGAACGACCCTGGCCATCCCATGGATCAGGGCATGGTGAGGATTGGACACTTGAAGCTGAGCACCTGCTGTCACCCATAGAACGCGACAATCGGACGAGAGGATGTGGCGGATGGTCTCCCACTGCGCTTCTTTCACCCTGGTTAGAACCGGAGAATACATCTCGTCTATAATCAGCACCGTTGAGCCGTTCTGAATCTGTTGGCTTTGTGGATCTACGTCTGTCAAGCGGACACCCAGGGCTGTGAGCGCCTCGCGCACCCAAGCGACGTGGTGAACATCTTCAGAGAGACGTACGAGGCTTACCGTCCCCAGGGGGGCATCCGCGACTCCTGTGGCGGATGGTGAGGGGCGTGCGAACCATCCCACCGTGAAAGTATCGGGGGAACGGGGGCCCCAAGGTATGGAGACGGGTGATTCGAACCCGTGAGCGCAAAGCAAAGCGGGGACATAGGAGTAGTCGTCCGCAATGAGGGTGAAGTCTGCTTCCGAGGCGTTAGTACTCGAGGAGCCAGACGAGTCCTTGTTCTGCTCCAACGAACAGGCCCCGACAAATAAGATACAACCGCCGTCGCGTAGGACGGTCTTGCTGTTCTTAACTGCTCGTGCCGACTCCTGGTCTGAAATTCCATCCATGCGGAGGATAACCAAGTCGGCGTTTTTTGCTACGCTAGACGCGTTCGCACCGGCCTGGGTAATGTCCAGTATGTGGACTTTGGTTTGGGAAAAGCTTCTGTACTTCTCCTGCGTACCAACTAAGGTCGATGTATCGCGGACACCCAAATGGTACTCAATGCTTGTTGTTCCGACGCGCGAGGGACTGTTGCCTCCGTCCACCGAGTCCCACCAGAGGCTAGCGGTATCAGACAGCACACTGAACTCAACGACTCTCAGGGAAGGCTTTTTATGGGTGAGCATGCTGTGGAGAAGCCTTCCACGGGAATCTGCGGCTTCGTCCGATTCCCCTTGTTCTTGTTGTAGAAGCGCCTGGAGCTGGTTTGACGACAGCATCGCTATATCCGGCTTCCAAGCCAGCTGCATGTATGTGAGAGGGGAACTGGCCTCCTCCGCGGCCAGTGTGTGATATCCGAGGCCTAAGATCTGCACGAGGCATCTCTTGGTGGACGTGTCGTACACGGTAACATATGATTTGTAGTTCTGGGGTTCTTCGGGACTCCCTGTGCCAGCATATCGAGCAGAGGTAACGGCCATTCCTCTGTCGACAGAGACCTCTCGAGCATTGATGACCAGATTGTCAATCACCGCTGGCACGAGAGCCCTGTCGACGGCGCTTTGGATGCCTTTCCAGAGCGAGGGGGCTCCGGATTGAAGACATCCGTCCAAAGCTGCCGGGTGCACCGAATACCGCGACTGCGGGAAGGACGAAGACGGCTCAGCGAAGGACAAAAGAGCCCGGCTGCTCCGAGTGCCAGCCGCAGCCTCGATCTCGATCTGGGGCTGGAAGCGCGGCCCAAAGCTATACCCGACGTCCTGCATGGCCTTGTACCATTTCTGGGCTGGGCAGGGATACTGCAGTGGGGCCAAGGCATCAAATGGTGCAGCTACATGAGAAAAAGGGTGGGAGTTAGTGGAAATGAGCAAGAAGCTGATAGTTGGGATTGCCAGCTTACATTCGGTATTTTCTTCCCCCAGACAGATCAGGCCCGAGCAATGCTCTGTCGATGCCTCACCATTTCGGACTGTTGTAATGGAGAATCTATTCCAAGCGCCAGCGCCACCATGCTCCGGGCTCATACTGAAGGAGATATGCTGGTCACTGCCATCGAGGACCATTGCCTGATGGAACCGTACGTTCCGCAGCCGGTAGGCGACTTCAAATACCTTCAAGGCGGAATCCACGAGCCCCCGGGATTGACCCGTCTGATACATTGCCTCGATCGCCATGGCAATGTACCCGGCTGCAGGGAAAAGAACGGTTCCGCCGATCTGATGATCCTCCAGCCATGTTACCTCCGGTAGGCGCAAGATCTTTTTCCATGTCGGCGCCAACCACGAGGTTCCTAGCACCTTAGCTCCTAGGAGGTCATGATGCTGGTATTGACGAAAGCGCCAGTCCTTGCTTGCTTGGCTCTCATACCAGTATTTAGTGGAATGGTTCCAGGCGTAATTAGGCAGATCGATAATCACGGAGGGCGGTGTTTGCTGGTACTCTCTTTCTATCCCGCGAGAAAAAGCATTGACTTGCTCGACGTTAATCTGTCCTCCACTGAGGAAAAGCTGTCCAGCAACATCGAACATTGCGCCGACAGCGTTCAAGCCCCGTTTGTACGCGGCGTGGTACTCCACAGCGGGTCCTGTCCCTGCCAGAGGTTTCTTGATCTGGTTGATCGGGCCTGCGAGAGCGCCATGCGGGCCGATCTCAATGAGATAGTCGACCGAGATATCCGCCGTCAGCATGGTCTTCATGGCCTGATCGAATAGCACTGGTGACTCCATGTTGTGCTTCCAGTACTCGGCGTCACAGAGCGTTTTCTGCTCGATTCCAGTTACGGACGAGAACATTTTCACCGGGACACTCCCCGACTTTGACGCTGTGAAAGAAACAGAGTGTGTCAAAAGGTCCTGGTAGTGCGCAGCAATGTCCGTCATGAATGTAGAATGGTAAGCCAGGTCCACATGCAGTAGGCGCGCAAAGTGCCCGTCCTGCTTGAGAGCAGCTTCTACCTGCTCCAGGGCCCAGACGTGTCCCGACAATGTCACACTCTCCGGGGAATTAAAGCACGCGATGGTCAGTGAACCCGGATATTCATTCAACAAACGCTGCAGAACCGGATGGTCATGGGCAAGACCAACGGCCAGCATGCCGACGCGAGGACCGCTCATATCCTGACAAGTCAAGGCGGCCTTGCCGCGGTAGTAAGCGACTTTGATGCCCTCTTCCTCACTGAGGTAGCCCGCAGCCACGGCCGCTGTAATCTCACCGGAGGAATGTCCCGCGACGCTGAATGGCTGCACACCCCATGCACGCAGCACCTCAAGGATCAACAGCTGCAGTGCCGTAACCAATGGCTGGGAGAATTCGGGCTGGCGCAGATGCTCGGCTGATCTTGGAGCCGTTAATTCCTCTGGTGGCGGTTAGAACGTCATCCATCGTATCTCGTGTCATGTCAAATCTTACCAAGGAGTGTCCAACTGGGACCGTCCGGCAAGCTCTGTAGCGCATCATCCAGGCGCCGGAGCAGCATCTGCAAGGACGGGAAGGCGTCAAGCAGCGAGCGGCCCATCTGCGGCCACTGAGCGCCCTGGCCAGTGAAGACAAAGCCGATGCGCGGCGGCGAGGGACGAAGCTGGCCGAGCACAAGGTCGCGGGTGTCAAGACGGGAAGCACGCGATACGAGATAGGCGCGGTGGAAATGGTGACTCCGTCGCTCGGACAGCGTGTGCGAGAGATCAGGCAGAGCAATACGGACGCTTGGGTTGATAAGATGCGTGGTGAGAGACTGGCAGTACCTCCGCAGCGAGTCGGGGTCGTTGGCGGAAAAGACAAGCAGGTGGGGGCTTTCCAACTGCTCTTCGGCGAACGGATCGTCTTCTGCATCCATGTAGGACGTCTTGAAATGCATTTCGGCCGGAGTGATGGCGGTCTTCGCTTCGTCGAGGATGACATGGACGTTGGAACCGCCGTAGCCGAATGAATTCACGCTCGCCCGGCGAAAGGGAACGTCGGGCCATGCTATAGCTTGCTTTTTTACTTGGATTTTGAGAGCATCGAAATCGACTGTGAGATGGTTAATAGGAATCATTCCAGCTTCAAACTCAGGGGAAGGAATCAAACTCGCTTTCTGGATTGGGGGTCTCGAAAGTAGGGTTTCCGGGGATGATGCCTTTCTCGAGGGCAAGGACAGCTTTGATCAGCCCTGAGATGCCGGCTGCCGGTTCCGAATGTCCTACATTGCTTTTAATCTGGCAGACGTTAGCGCTCACTCTCCAATGGCACCAGGGAACTGAACATATCAGCCTCCAGAGCACGCACCGATCCAACCACCAAAGGCCTCTCTTTCGGCCGGTCGACACAGAAAACAGACGCCACACCGTTCACCTCGATCGGATCACCGGCTCGGGTGCCTGTACCGTGGCACTCGAGATACGAAGTGAGGTTGACGTCGGAGATGCCCGCATTCTTGTACGCCTGCCTGGTTGCTGCCGCCTGAGCCTCCGAACTGGGACTGGCGATCCCAGCCGTCCATCCGTCGCTGTTGGACGCCGACCCTCGAATGACGGCGCGAATGGGGCTTCGGTCCCTCAAGGCGTCCGAGAGACGCCGAACGATTACCATATTGACGGCCTCGGACTTGATATATCCGTCGGCCTTGGCATCAAACGTATGGCAGAGGCCCGAAGGCGAGGCGGCGCCATTCATGCCGCTTAAATCGATGCAGTGCTCGGGGCTTAGGTAGAGATTACAGCCGGCCACAATGGCCGTGTGGATCTCACCCGTCTGAAGATATCGAGAGGCAACATCCAAGCTGACCAGGCTCCCCGAGCACGCTGTATCAATGGTCATACTGCGTTTCAATCCCGTTACTCTTGATTATCCGGAAATTAGAGAGCCGATTTCTTCTCACCTGGGACCTTTCACGTCCAGGAAGTGGCTGATGCGGTTACTGAGCATCGCACGCCCAATCCCCACGGTGGTGTTTGGCGCTCTGTCCTCTGGATTGCGGGCCTGAATATCGCCGTAATCTGAGCCGCGTTAGCAACTTGGACTGGTGTTATCCTGACGGAGCAGGAGACCACAAACCCGAAGCATAGGAGCCTACGAAGCAACCTACCGGCTGCCCGCGTAGCAGCTCCACGGGGATTCCCGCGTTCTCCAGTCCTTCGTATACGACCTCCAGCAACTGGCGCTGCTGCGGATCCATCGCGATGGCTTCGGCACGCGAGAGTCCGAAAAACTGAGCGTCGATATCGGCCGGGTCGACGTATTCGAGAAACATGCCCCCGGGAGAGCGCATCGTCTTGGGCCTCTTCGACCCATCCTCGTGGCCCTTGAGGTTGAATCGGCTCGCGGGCGGATCGTTACTGGCAATTCCTCCTCGCTCGAGAAATCGCCATAACGCCGTCGGGGAGCTGCTGTTTCCGGGCAGTCGACAGGCCAGACCGACCACGGCCAGCGGCTCAGCGACGAAGGTTTGAGTGGATGCGTTTACCATGTTGAATGAATCAAGATGAATACTAGGAAAAGGATGGGGATATTGGCTCTGAGTTCTATCAGAAAACCTACATTATATCGACAGTACTATATTCGCTGGTACACTTTATGCCCCAAATCTCGCTAGGTTTCCATCCAATTGATAGCACTTTCTCGTGGACAAGGTTGGTAAGCCACCAACGCCTGCCAGGATGCCATAATGTCAGAGCTGATCCTTACCTGTTGTAATTGCACCCCTAATCAAAGCGGACGCCTAATATCGGAGACCATGACCGTTAAAGTCGACATTACAGAGGATAATACCACCGCGGAGCCGCCTAATGGTTAGCTTTTGGCCCCCAATTCTGTCTACATTGACAGACTTTGGCATGATCGGACAAACGAGAGAACAATCCTGGCCTAGTGCCAGACTAATGTAGGAAGATAGGTTTCGGCCCCCAGCGTTGTTGGCCAGTAAGTGAGACAAAAGGATGGATAAAGTAGACTGTTCCGTTGTGCAAGGATCAATAGGCGTGTCTGAAAATCGACTAAGCCAGAACAGGCACATTCCTCGAAACGACATCAGCCGGCCAGTCTAGAATCAGGATCTGGTTGCATTTGCCCTCTCACTCCCCTGCAAGCCGTTAATAATTGTGACTTCCTGAAATCAGGAAACTTCCTGGATTGACTTCCTGGATTGACTTCCTGAGCCAACGAACCTCCCGGTATGGAGAAACCTTCCTGGATATAGTCCTGCCTGAGGCGGAACCTCGGGCAGTACATAGAGGCGCTAGATCCTCGCTCCTAGATAGCCTTTCCTCTCCATGGGAAAATTCCTTGACTACGAGTCATAAACAAACTTGTCTTTTACTGAGCTCCTTTGTAGACCGTCACAATAATAATAATAAGAAGCGAGGCTGGCAGCAATTCTGGCCCGGTCATTACGCGGTATCGGTATTGTCTGTACAGGTATTGACAGGACGCAAAGATAGGTACCTAGTTCTAATCCCGATGTATACCAGTCTTCCATTGCGGCATAAGAACAGCATCATATCTACCCTGACCGCCAGGATCAGTTCCAAATCCAAATCCACCGAAGCAATCGCCATAGTCACCAGTATGGCTCTCTCAGAGCAACCCATCGAATTCAAAACCCTCGATGGCCTCACTCTCCGCGGCACTCTATACCCATCCAGCCCCAACGGGCCAGGAATCATCATGACCCCGGGCGTAGGCACCCAGTATCCCAATCATCAGCCATACCATATCCAGCTAACACAAGTGCCCAACCCGGCAGTTCAACTGCGTCAAAGAGATGCTCGGCCTGCCCGACGTAGCGAGCAGTTTCCAATCGTCCGGCTTCACGGTGCTGCTCTACGACCCGCGCAACACAGGCCAGTCGACGGGGGAACCACGCAACGAAATCGACCCCATGCAGCAAGCCAGCGACTACTCGGACGCGGTGACATTCCTAGTCACGCAGGCACACGCGCCAGTCGACCCCTCGCGCTGCTTCCTCTGGGGCATGTCGTTCTCCGCCGCTGTGGCGCTGTGCGCCGGGGCGCTGGATCCGCGCGTCGCAGGGCTGGTGGCGGTGGCGCCGCTCACGGACTTCACGCTGGCGAGCGACAAGCGGGACGCGGTGCTGGCGCGATGCGCGCAGGACCGTGCGTCCCAGATCGCGGGCAACGAGCCGTTCTACCTCCCGATGGTGACGGAGAAGGGCGAGAACCCGGCGGGGTTCGGCGTGGGGATCGATAGGGAGCGGTACGCGGCGATCGTGGACAGGGGGAAGGAGATTGCGCGAGGCCATGTCAACCGCACGACGCTGCAGAGCTACTACAAGATGCTCATGTGGCAGCCGTTCGGACTGTGGGAGTCGTCGCTGCTGCGGAATCCGGTGTTGATGGTCGTGCCGGAGCTAGATCGGCTGAGTCCGGCGGAGAGGCAGGTGACGCAGTTTGAGAAACTGAAGGGGAGTGGGAAGAGGCTGTTTGTGCAGAAGGGGGTCGGGCATATGGATATTGTCGAGGGGGAGCATTTCCCGGAGTTGATGCAGGTGAAGGTCAGGTTTCTGAGGGAGGTGATGGAGGGAAGAATTGCATCTTAACAGGCTTCTATAGTGCTATATACTATACTATACTATATTCCTTAGCTTCCTCTATAACCAACTAAACCTCCCCCTACAACACTAAAACCCTAACTCCCCGACTCCCCGGCGCAACCTCCAAGCCAACCATATCGCGATAACAATCCACATCTCGCCGACTCGTCTCGAACAACTCGAATCGGAAATTCCGGAACAGGCCCGCCAGAACCAGCGTCATCTCCGCATACGCCAGATTGAAGCCCACGCACATGCGCGTGCCGCGGCCAAACGAAGCCAGGTACCGCGTCAGGCTCTTCTCGCCGTCCGGGCCGCGCGCCCCGTCCAGCCATCGCTCGGGCTTGAACTCGTGGCTGGAGGGGAAGACGCGCTCGTCGTGGTGCATGTGGTACGTGTCCAGGCTGACCATGACGTTGGGGGGAATCACCCAGTCGTGGTAGATGAGGGGGTCGTGTTTGGAGAGGCGTTGGGAGCGAGCGGTAGCGCCGTAGGAGAGGCGGATTCCTAGAGGATAGGTTAATATCAAATCCATGTCCAGTCTCGGATTTGCTTTTCTTTCTTTCTTTCTTTCTTCTCTCTGCGTCTCGTTTGTTGGTGAAACCTACCCTCCTGAATACAAGCCCCCAAGTACGGCAACTGCTCGAGAACCGACAACGTTGGCGGCTTCGACGCGTCTGGGATGGCGTCTTTCAACTCATCCTGCAGACGGCGCAGGATGGCCGGGTTATTGAGGATGTGAAACGAGGTGACCACGTTCGCCATTTTGGTGGTCTCTATGCCGGCGCCGACAATGCTCATCGCTTCGTCCTTGAGACGAGGCACCGCGAGGTCTTCGGCGGGGAGCCCCGAGTTGAGCAGTTCGTAGAAAATCGTACCTTTTTGGTCGTCGTCAGATCCGGCCTCGTGGTTGCGGAGGACCTGGCGGACGTGCGAGCGCATTTCCTGCATGGGAGGGTCAGCCAGTCCTGTTCGATAGAGAGAGAGAGAGAGAGAAAGGTACTTCTTGAAAAAGTAAGATCGCCTCCATCGACGGCTGCAGCATTGCCATCAGGCGCACCGGCAGGAGATTCAACAACCTCGGCAACCAGGGGAACTGCTGCGCGTAGTGCACAAAGTCCTTCAAGCCCTGGATGGAGCGCGTGAAAGCCGAGGTGAAGCCCGGCTGGTCGAGGAAGTGATAGCTGCGGTTGAACGCATAGGTCATGATCACGTCGGTGACGAAGCTGGCGTACATGTCGTTCAGGCAGAGAGGGTGGCCGGTGCCACGATACGAGGCCGCGAGTCGGCGACAGATGCGATCGACGTTGGCCTGGATCATGGGGGCCTGTTCGTAGATGCGTCGCTTCGAAAAGAAGGGGGCGATGGCACCGCGACGCCGTTTGTGGACTTCGTGCGAGGGCGTCGAGAAGGCCGCCGTGGGCGCGTCGAAGCGGTCCTGTACGTGTGCGGACTTGTCGAGCCCGCGGTTCGCGCTGTAGATAGCCTCGTAGTATTCGGGGTCGTCGATGTGTAGTTCTTTGGGACTGATGCGGACGATGGGCCCTGTGGATGGACTTAGGATGGAAACTCCATCAGACCAGGTGGGAGCGCTCACCGTATCTCTCATGCATCCGCTTGATCTCAAAGGTGAACTGGCCGCCGCTCTTCTTCACGATCTCAAAATAGGTCTCGTACCATCCGCTGACGGCCGCGAGCTTGGGCCCGGGGAAGCCAGCCAGAGGGCTGATATACAGTCGGTAGAGGGACAGAGCAACCAGGTAGGCGAGCAGGACTGCTACAGCCGTCAGGATGCGGGGATGGCTAGCATGCTCCATCCAGGCAGATAGATTCCCAGGTTGATCTACGAAGGCCATTGCGGCAGGACAGGCGATGGCAACTGGACTGCTCGATGGGGACGATGGAAGATAGACGATGGAAGATAGAAATATCCAGAGCGAAGAGAAGCAGGCAAATACCGTACCGAATCGTTCATCGACGGTATGGTACTAGACGATACCGTATATAACGTTGCCAACGGGGGCAGCCTTGCATGGGGTTGCACTGCAGTAGTTGAGGGGTTGCACTGCAGTAGTTGAGGGGCTGCACTGCAGTAGTTGAGGGGCTGCACTGCAGTAGTTGACAAATATAGAGTACTTCATTGGGGCCTTTTGCAAGCCACCGCAGTAGCGATTTTACCTCATCCTGGCGGAGAGGCGAGGTCTGAAGAGATCGCCGTTCTCCGCGATTTCGCCGTTCGCCGTCGATGCTGTCTAGCGCCAATGTCTTGTCTAGTCTAGATGGTCTACAGTAGTCGCAATGCAGCCATGTAAGACGGCCAAAAGAAAATAGAAGTAGAGCAAAATGTAATATAGTCGAATGAAATCAGCCGAAATTAAGTGGTATGTACAGTACAGTAGTATGCCAAATCACCGCTCTACATCAAACGTATTCGTCACTCGAATCGCCGACTCCTGCGGCCAGACCGGCGATGCCCTTGTCTGCGAGAACCCCTTCATGTCGTAATTCTCCGACTCATTAATTGCCGCCGTCGAGTCGACACTGCTATGCAGCCGTATCGTGGCGCGACGCGAGCGTCCCTTTTTCAGCCCTGAGGATGCATACGAGCTATTCAGGCCATGCGAGCCGCTAGACACGGTCGACTGCCCGGTGACTCTTTGCAGGACGGGTCTCATCATGGGGAGAGAGGCGAGAACGATGCCCAGTAGGGGCTCGAGAATGGTGAAGAAGAAGAGGATGGTAGTGGAATAGGTCAGGTCGGTGGCGACGAGTTCGTTGATGAGCGTGATGCGGAAGATCGTGATAACGCAGATCCTGAGTGGGTTAGACGTTGCTGGTGCTGGGCACTTCTCGGGCAAGACGAGGTATGGAAGACGTACACGATTCCCAGGGCAAAGAGCGTAGAAAGCTCGATCTTCCTGCGGCGCTTCATCTGCAGTTTCCAAAGTTCCGGTGCTGGCGCAACTCCTACAGCGACGTCGAGCAGAAGATTGATGATGTGGACGCAGAGATACGACGCCGACGTGCTGCCGCAGTGGCCTTCCGCGGTGGGATCCCAGTTCAACTTCAGGGGTTGGCAGAGAAGAAGCGAGACCAAGATCACCATCACGCACCACATGGTTTGAATCGTGATCAACGACAGACAGAGGTACCGGAACGGTTTTGACCGGAAGATCGAGAGGTAGAGCTGCAGGATGGAGACCTTGACGGCGCTGATGGCGCACGCCCACACGGGGGAGTTGGCGACGTAGACCTGAATAGCGCAGGGGGTGAGTATTCAGGATCCTGGACTTCCAATGTGAGGCTGACCTTCGCGAAATGAACCCCCTGGACGAGAGGGTTGGATAGCTCGAACGTATGCTGCCCAAGTCCGCCGATAACGGTGGCTGCGAGCAGGTCAGTGTCCGTAGGTAAAAGGCACGAAAATCGAATCTCATACCGATGATCAACAAAGCAACCAGACCGCTGGAGAATACCTGGAGAAGACCATCAGCCCACATCTTCACGGCGTCGGGATCATCTTACCAAAGCCACCACGATCATCAGGTCGTGATCCGCCACCTTCTGTCGTTTGAGTGAATGCGCGTAGAAGCGAAGTCCCACGGCCACGATCGCCAGAACTTGAAACACGATGGCCAGCACCACGGGCCACACTGCCCGCGGGTGATCGGTCCAACTCGACGTGGTCTCCATCGGCGCAGATACGAGCGAGAATGGGGATGGAAAGGAGACAAGACGGTTGATGCTCTACAGGGTGCAATCCTACTGATAAATCTTCGTAGGGCCTCCCTGCCTGAGGTATAGCAAATGCGACGACCATCTTCATTTTTTCGCCCCGGCGCCATATAATCACAAATGAGCAACATCTCATTTTACGAGGGGCGGGGATGTTGGTCAGTCCTGCAATGCATTCACATTCTAACACTTGCACCAGGGGGATGCCCGGGAAGGTGACCCGGAGCTGACATGCATGAGGACTCTGTTCAGGTCTGGCCTGCAAAGAGGAGTCATGACACTAGTTGACGCATGTAAGATGACAGTATCTTGGCCATTTAGCGCCACCAGCGGGGCTCATAGTTCAGCGTGGTCAGAAAAAAGCTCAGGCTTTCAGCGTGGGTAGACCTCGGAGCGGCGAAATCCCTTGCGTGGTTAGAAGAGTGCTAAGAGTTATCTCCCGAAATCCTAACCATGACCACCTTGAACTGTGGCCCCCACCAGCGGAGAGTTCCGTCTTGGATTCGATATAAATCATTGTTGGATTCTACAGTCTTCCACTAGCTGGCTCTAGTCTTGTCCTGCCCGGACACTCACTCGAAAACGAGGACACTCGACTGCAATGTAACCCTACCAGAGCAATCTGACATTTGGGGGCCTTCACATTGGGTATTCTACATTGCTCAGGTCTTTCGTATGTCTTACTGGCTTGTCAGGAGCTGGGCGTGGCATGTCTCGTGCTGACGATCTAACTTTGTAACTGTTTGGCCTTGACCTTGCCCCGATTATCAATCTCTTTTGAAAGGACGTCTAGGAGGTGGACAGAAGAACGCATAATTATAATGAAACGAGTGTATACGGCGGATAGAACCCATGTGGTATGGCATCTACACCGCCAGCCATGAGCTGCGGTATGAAATATGTTTGCACGCATCCAGACTCTATACATCGGAGCATCAACATCGCTCTATTTCAAGATACGAGCCGTTGATGACCATCGGTTCTGTTCGCAGAACTAGGCAATCCTTCGAATTTAGTCCCACCTAGTATAGCAGACTTTCAGTTATGGCCCCCATCTTAGCAGAGGTGCACGTCTTGAGACACGATATATTTACCTCCTCCGCATCTTCCTTCAAGCAGCAGTTACTTAGTACCCTGCACCCGCCTGTATTGGAATCCCACGATGAAGGCCTCCCTCTGGACCTATAGCTACTTGCTCTTCTGGACCGGCGTCGTCGAGGCCCGGTCCGCATGTCGCTATCTCCCCGGGGACGCAGAATGGCCGTCGGACAGCGCCTGGGCGCGACTCAATCGGACGGTCAACAATCGGTTGATTGCGACGGTGCCTCTGGGGTCTCCGTGTCATGATGAGGCCGTCGACGCCGCGCGATGTGACGAATTGAAGGAACAATGGGTATATCCACAGCTACAGTGTGTTTTCCTTGTCCTTCTCGCCATGGACTCAAAAACTAACGGTCACCAGCGTGGAGGACCCGTCGTCCATCGTGGCCCCGTATTTCCAGAACCAGAGCTGCGATCCGTTCACGTCGCCGTCCAGCCCGTGTCGGATTGGGAACTACGTCGAGTATGCCATCAACGTGTCGACGGCGGCGGACGTAGCGGCCGGGCTGGTATTTGCGCAGAAATGGAATATTCGCCTGGTGATAAAGAATACCGGGCATGAGTGAGTCTTTTCCTTTCTTTCCTTCTTTCTTTCTGTCTGTCTGTCTGTCTGTTCTAACGAGGGATCCATCAGCCTCCTCGGCCGTTCGACCGGCAAAGGCGCCTTAGGGCTTTGGATGCACAACCTGCGCTCGCTCTTGCTCTCCAACTACCGCAGCTCGCACTACACGGGCAAAACCATCACTATGGGCGCCGGCGTGCAAGCCTTCGAAGCGTACGCTTTCGCGGCGCAGCACCACTTGCGCGTCGTCGGAGGCACCTGCTCGACCGTCGGGCTGAGCGGTGGCTATACGCAAGGCGGCGGACATTCGATGCTATCGACGCAATACGGCCTGGGCGCCGACCAGGTGCTGGAATGGGAGGTGGTGCTGGCCAACGGATCGCACGTTCGCGCCTCGCCTGCCTCGCATCCCGATCTTTACTGGGCCCTGTCCGGCGGCGGCGGCGGTACCTTCGCCGTAGTACTCTCTATGACCGTCAAAGCCCACGTCGACACGCCCGTTACTGGCGCCAGCCTAACCGTTAGCCAGAAGTCGAGCTCGCCCGACGCCGCCGACCAGTTCTGGCACGCCGTCGACGCCTTCCACGCCGCCATGCCCTCCTGGATCGACGCCGGCGCCGCCACCGGCTACTATCTCGTCGACGGCGCGCTGTCGCTGATTCCCGCGACGTTTCCCAACCGTACCGCGGCCGAGGCTGAGGCGTTGATGAAGCCCTTCCTGCAGCGGCTGGACGCTCTCGACGCGCTCGCCATTTCCTTTAACGTGTCCTCGTTCCCCGGCTATCTCCCCTTCTTCGATCACTACTTCGGCCCTCTGCCGTACGGCGCGTACACGTCGGCGCAAGTGCAAGGTGGGAGGCTCGTGCCTCGCGCGGTGCTCACGTCGCCCGAGTCTAACGCGGCGCTCACGACGGCCCTACGCACCGTCACGTCGCACGGGGCCTTCCATGTCGTCGGGGTCGGCCTGGACGTGTCGAACGCTGCCGCCCCGTCTAACGCGGTGCACCCGGGCTGGCGCAAGGCGGCCACCACGCTGGTAGTCGCGGCGAACTGGGACTACGAGCGGCCGTTCGCGGATAACGCGGCGCACGAGACGCTTATTACGGAGCAGTTCGATCCGCTGCTGCAGGAGATCACGGGGCCAGAGAGCGGCGCGTACATGAACGAAGGCGACTTCCGGCAGGGGGACTTCCGGCGGCAGTTCTTCGGCGACAACTACGGGCCTCTGCGCGCGATCAAGCGGCGGTATGATCCGCGGGAGGTGTTCTACGGGACGGCAATGGTGGGGAGCGACGGGTGGAGGGTTGAGAGGGACGGAAGGTTGTGCAGGGTTTAGACCTATAGTTATAGCTATAGCGAGAGAGAGAGACAGAGAGAGAGACAGAGAGAGAGAGAGAGAGAGAGAGAGAGAGAGAGAATGTGTGTGTGTATGTATAGATAGTGTATGAACAAACAGGTATCACTTAACGAAAACTTTCCACCTGTTTCGCACACCATTCCTCAAACACCCTCCCGTAGCCCTTCCCCCCCTCGTTCCTCTCTTTCATGGCCTCCAGCAATTCCTCCCTGGGACACGGATGCCATCGCCCGAACGGAATCACAAACTGCCCGCCATCCTTCACCTCGACCTCCTCGGCCAGCCCGGCCCACAGCATGGTCTGCGCGCCCTCCACGGGGCTATAATACAGCGGCTTGGACAACCAGACGGTCAGGCGCGGCGCCTCGTCAAAGATGCCCGTGTAGATATTGCCCGGGTTCTGCGCGACGCTGACGACGCCGCGCTCGCCCAGCTGCCGGGCCAGACGGTCGGCGAGGAACCAGTTCCCCGCCTTGCTGATGGCGTAGTTCCGGTTTTGATCGGCAGACGGATGCTCCAGCTCCGCCGGGGGAACGCCCTCGGTCGGGGCCAGGAACTCGACCAGCATGCTAGTCGACCAGACGACGCGGACGCTGTTGGCGCGGGTGTTTGTCAGGGCGACGGTGGCAGTCAGGAGGGGCGCGAGGAGCTGGGTGAGCAGGTAGGGCGCGACGCAGTTGATGCCGATATGGGGTTCCAGGCCTTGTTGGGTGCGGCGGGACGGTGGCTGGTTGGCGACGCCGGCGTTGTTGAAGAGCAGGTCGAGACGGGATTCCGCAGCCAGGAAGGCCTGCGTGAAGGGTTTGACAGTGCGCAGGTCGTTGAGGTCGAGAGGGAGGAAGTGGAGAGAGCCGGCAGAGGAGGAGGAAGAAGCCTGGAGGTCGGCGATGGCGGCATCGGCTTTGTCCTTGTTGCGCGCGGCAAGGTAGACGGTAGCGCCGGCGTAATAGAGGGCTTTGATCAGTTCGAGGCCGATGCCAGCGGTGGCGCCGGTGACGATAACGACTTTGCCGGTTTGCGAGGGGATGGTGGACGCGGTAAGAGTGCCCTTAGAGGGGAAGAGCTGGGGCCAGGCACGCTTGAGGGAGCTCATGTTGAGACTGGAGGACTGTCGAAGTTGTGGTTTAGGAAAGTAGAGAAGGCTGGGCTAGACGGCGGATTTATAAGGCAGGTCGGGGATTGAGACTAGACAAGTCCAGCTAGAGGAAACAGGATTAGAGAGGGTTGCATTGCAGACAAAGAAAGTCGGGTACGTCAGACGGTCCGGTATATCGTAAACTCCGAAAATCCAAATCAGGCATCGACCTGAACTCATAGATCAGGCGGATCAATGCTCGTGCTCATTATACTTGATATAGCGACCTACAGCCAGTTCGCTGAATATTACCCCCGTGAAAATAAAATAGAAATGTCTAATTATTACCGCTAGTATGCTATTAAAAATCAGAACCAGCGCGATAAAACTTTATTATTATATAAAAGGGAAAAAATACAATAGATATATCTAGGAAAGCCTGCGATAGATCTACGCTAAATTTCTATAGTAGAAGTGATGGGAGGCGATTACCGCCCGTCACTTCCCTCGATAGGAAGTGAGAGGAAGTGACGGGTTATATGAGAGAAGGGACAGTTTATATGGGCGGATGAGCGGTATCAAAACCGTTCGGGAAGTGATGGGAGCGATGCCAGAGCCGTTTCGATCCTGTTCCATACGGTTGGTCGCTCGATCGGGCTAGCGGCGGGTAAAAGTGCGTGACCCTTCCCTTGTGCGCGGCCGGAGGTTTGTATGGGCAGTGACATACGGAGATCGTTAATCAATATTTCGCCTTCGCGGCTCCTGTGTTATAGGAAGTGATTGCAGGCCTACCAAGTTCTACCTGACTGCAGCCGTAACCGATTACTTTAGCCCGAAGCAATTACGCTAAAGGAAGAGGTTCAGGCTCGACAGAGCATCATCCTACCCAAGGCAATCTTGCAGAGACCCAAGGTGAACCCTAAGCACCAGAAAGATATGGTACGCAGGGATCGACAACTGGATCAAGAGAGCAATCGTCAGAATCAAGATATATATATTCGCAAGAACAGACTCAATACCCATCAGAAGAACACTGAACGAGCACTGTATCGTATGGAGCGGGCACTCAAGGAAACCCGGAACGATCCCGAACCAGCCCCAGAGCGACCCCCGAAGACTGCCAAAAAGGGCCTGCTAGAGGTCGATATCTTTGCCATCAGCGGTTCGGCTTACTAGCTTCATCTCGGTAAATTGGGTTGCTTCATTACCTCGCTAGCGCAGATTGACAAGATTATCGACGAGAAGAACCACCCTGAACGCCAACTGGAGGTCGAGAAGCTGAAAGAACAGATCCCCGAGTCCTACCACGGCTTTGTAGATGTATTCTTGAAGTCAGCGTCGGATACGCTGCCCCCGAGAAGGGAAAACGATTACCGAATTGAGCTTACTGATAAGAATACGCTGGGGTATAGTCCTCTATATCGATACTCTGCAAAGGAACTAGAGGCGATCAAGGCCTATCTAATAGAGAACCTACAGAAGGGCTTTATCGTTTCCAGTGCTGCCCCATTCGGCTCTCCCGTACTAATGGCTGCGAAGCCAGGGGGAGGCCTGCGGTTCTGCGTAGACTACTGGAAACTGAACTCAATTATCAAGAAGAACCGCTATCCCCTGCCCCTGATGGACGAGTTGCTGGACCGGCTAGACCACGCAAAGATCTTTATCAAGCTCGACATTAGGCAGGGCTTCTACCGCATACGAATGCACCCCGATTCAGTGAATCTAACCACGTTCCGTACCAAGTACGGGTTCTACAAATATCAAGTCTTACCTTTCGGCTTGACCAATGGACCCGCAGCGTTCCAACAGCTGATAAATGACATCTTTATTGATCTGATCGATAAGTACGTAACTGTATATGTAAACGATATCCTGATTTTCAGTGAAAACGAGCTTGAACACGAGGCCCACGTCCAGGAGGTACTTAAACGGCTCCGCGCTGCAGGCCTCCAGGCCGCTATTCACAAGTGCGAATTTAACGTGAAGAGAACTAAGTTCTTGGGTTTCATCTTGACCCCAAATGGCATTGAGGTTGACCCTGAGAAGGTTGCAGTGATCACTAACTGGCAGATTCCTACCACAGTTAGGGGAGTCCAGTCGTTTCTCGGGTTCTGCAACTTCTATCGACGTTTTATAGAGGCCTACAGTAGGATTGCCAGACCACTGTACGCCTTAATAAAGAAACTAGTATCCTTTGAATGGACCTCCGACTGCTAGAAAGCCTTTGAGCAGCTGAAGAAGCACTTGACTTCGGCACCTCTTCTACGGCATCACGACCTAACCCTCCCGTCTAGGATCGAAACGGATATCTCTGACGGGGTAGTTGCAGGCATATTCTCCCAGTTATTTGAGGGTAGGTGGCACCCGATTGCCTATTTCTCTAGGAATATGCTCGGTGCTGAGCGCAACTACGATATTCATGATAAGGAGCTCTTGGCCATAGTTCGAGCTCTAGAGCTCTGGAGAACGGAGCTTGAAGGGTTACAGACTACTGAACGAATAGATATCTGGACTGATCATAGGGCCCTTGAATACTTTATGACTACGAAGAAATTGAACGGGCGCCAGGCCCGGTGGTTAGAGTTTCTTTCAAGGTTCCACTTCATGATTAAGTTCAGACCCGGGTTAAAAAATGCAGCTGCTGACGCCTTATCGAGACCTGAAGAGAGTCCTCTGGACCTAGACACAAAGAACCAGGCTCTGTTGAGGCCAGAGTGGTTGGAAGAGGGTGTTCTGCCTCCGCAGGCCATTGAACAGGAGCTATCTGCTATATCAGCACTTCTCGCTCCCATAGAGCTGGATGACATCCAGTTGATGGACCGTCTACTGCAGGCTAATCGCACTGCGACTGACCTTGACGAAGAAAAGGCTGCTGCTGCTGAAGAAGGCTCGGAATAGTCTCTGCAGGATGGGCTCCTGCTGTTCCAGAATAAGCTTGTGGTTCCTGAAGAGGGCGACCTTCGCACCCGATTGCTCGACATGGTTCACCGACAGCCCTCTACTGCGCACCCAGGACGAACCAAGACAGAAACTCTGGTTAAGAACCGATACTGGTGGCCAGGCTGGCGCCACGATGTTAAGCGATACGTGGCCAATTGCTTGATATGTAATCGAACTACTACTAGAAGGGATCTGCCCCCAGGGTTGCTTCAACCCCTCGATATCCCGAATCGCCCCTGGGAGCATATCTCTATGGACTTTCGCTCCTGCCCGAAGGACAAGCACGGCTTTGATGAAGCCTGTGTGATCGTAGATCGCCTGACGAAGCGGGTGATCTCAATCCCCTGTCATAAGAATGTGTCGGCAATGGATATGGTCCAGCTCTTCCTCGAACATATATATCGATGGGTAGGACTGTTAGAGTCAATCCTTTCAGACCGTAGAGGCCAGTTCATCTCTGCTTTCTGAGAGGAGCTCTACTTGCGGCTGAAGATCAAGCGCAAACTAACCTCAGGGCAGAAGCCCTTCATGAATGGCCATACGGAGATCGTTAATCAATATTTCGCCCAAAAGCTCCGTCCTTTTGTGAATTACTATCAAGATAACTGGTCAGAGCTGTTGCCGGCTATAGATTTCGCCTACGCCGTCCTCGAACATGAGACAACCGGGTTATCCCCCTTCCAGGTTGAGCGTGGCTACGAACCCCGGGTCTCCTTTGACTGGGTCTCGCCCTCGAAACCTCGGGATAGACCTCATGATCAAGCTGAAGCTCGCCAGACTGCTCGCAATTTAGAACAGATCTGGGACTACGCTAAGGGTCAAATTGAACTAGC